ACCAAAGGAGAAATGGATTTGACCTGCATTGTAGCTGCCCTGTATAACCAAAACAGGAAATAAGAGAAGTAAATGTCTCTGTATGTTCCCTGATGCTGTGAAAATACAGAGGTTCCCTTTGATTCATTCTAATGTAGTCAATATTTATGTACAGACAGATCTGGCTCTACACTCAAAGTTCTGTCGCCCCACAACCGTTATTGCCACCAAGTTAAAATTTTATCTCTCGGAACTTGCTTTTCTTGGGGCAGGTACTAGAAATTGAATTCAAGACCTTTGCACTGAGCTATACACCCAATCCTCTTTTATTGTTTTGTTTTGTTTTGAGATAAAATCTCAGACTTGTAGTCCTTCTCCCTCGGCCTCCCAGAGTGTTGGGATTATAAAATGCACCAGCAAAATCTTTTTAAAAGGCTTTTAAATAGTCTGGCGGTTTTTGTGGTGGGTTTTTTGTTTTTTGTTTTTTGTTTTTTCCAGAGCTAGGGATGAAGCCCAGGTTTCACATGTGCCAGGCTGAACCACTGAGCTACAGCCCTGGCCCTCCGCTAGTCTTGGTGCTTCTTCCTGGCCGTGTAGGTCAGACTGTCAGCTGCTCAGAGCTCTATGTGGCCAAGACCAGAAGTCCCACAGTGATACACCTGCCGGCCCCTTTTCTGTTTGTCACTCTGTGGCGTGCTCCTGCTCATGTCCTCCCACCCAGTGTCTGTCCGAAGGGGGCACGTGTCTCCTCACCTCCCTCCTGCTCAGATGTGCAGATATCCCCTCCACGGCGAGGCTCGCCTCCTGGTGTGAGCAGCCACACATCCCTGCCTGCACTGTCCCACGCTTCGTAACTCAGTCTTTGTCCTCACACACAGGACGGCCTCTTCCACACCATAAGCTTCCTCAAGGGTTCATGAAGTTTGTTGTTTCTCCACTACCAGACAAACTCCATGAGGGAAGAGGGGGTTGTTGTTGCATCTTGAAACTATTTTTGTTCATTGAAATCTCAGTGCCTAACACACAATAGGCACTCAGTTAATTTTTGTTGAATTGATTGGTTTTAAGTTGAATAACTTCATTTTTTTTTTTTTAATCACTGAGCTTCTCAGTATTAGGACATCATGATTGAATTCCTCATCTAGTTGAGCCAGGAAATGGAGTTTAAGGAAATTGGGGTGTGGTTAACTGTTCTTTCTGATTGGGAGTGGCAGAGCCAGCATTCTTGAGGGTACCCTGGGAACCGATATCGTGTCCTTTCCCGCCCCACATGCCCCCTCCCTTCCTACTCTGGGCTTACAAAATGTTTTTTCCCCAGAACCCGATCACTTTTGTAGAGATCACAAACTGTCAGCAAATGGGCTGGATTTAACTCACAGATGTGTTTTATCTTAACGAGTGTGGTAATATTATTGGGTTTGCTTGTTTGTTAGTTTACATGGTGCTTCTTAAAATAATTTAGTTACATACCAACATTTAAAATTCAGTTATTTCAGAAGAAAGTCTGGATTTCTTGCTTCTTTGAAAAAATAGGAAGTTCTAGACTGGGGATTTAGCTCATTGGTGCCTCCGCCTGCCTCTCAACCACAAGTTCCTGAGTTTGATCCCCGGTACCAAAAAAACAAAAATAGGAAGTTCTGATAGACCCTACTCATCACTGGCAACCCACTCATGCCAGGAGATACACTCCTGTAGTTTGATGGAGTCTCCTTTGCATTTACCTTACTTGTCCAGCCCTTTAAGGATTTGACTGTAAACCCTCATCTTCACTGGAGTCTTCGAGTAAACTCTAAGCTATGCTTTTTAGATATTGAAGATAATTTTCATAGAGCTGAAGGAACTTTTACTGACTCTTTTCTGTTAAATGACCTAGCATTGGTGGTATTAGCTAGAAATAGCAGCAGTTTGAAGAATAAAAGACCTGAAATATATTTCAGCTTTTACATGAGTTCACTTGGTCAGTATTTTTTACTATCTTAATCCTTTTGTCTCCATGCTGTCAGATACCATGATGATTGAATTTCCTACCTTTATCAGGTTCCGTATCTAGTTGAGAAATGGAATGGAATTTAAGCAAATCAGGATTCAGCTGCTGTCATTTCATATAATGGCCTTATATAATTTCTTTTAAATCATGGTTAAGTGTCCACAGATAAGAGTTTAGATACTTCTCCTCACCTGATGGGAGGACATAGTAGTCCTAGCATTGGAGTGCTGGGAAGATGGGAGAGGGACGCCAGGGACAAGGTGAGAGAATAAATGCACCAACCAGTAAAAGTTAGTGTCCTTACAGCATCTTAAGATGCTTGGAACTAAATAAAAATAACTCCAGGATTTCATAGTGTGAAGATCTTAACCTGCAAAGTTGCGTCTCAGACCATACTGTATGAGTTTATAAAGGGGCCAGATATATACTCAACCAAAACATAATCATTTTAGGAAACTTGGCATCATTGTTGTCATGGTGACTTTTACTTTGTTTTCTCTTCCTCTTCTGGTAGGGAAAAATACAGGAGACTCTGACTTGAAGGCAGAAGCAAGCAGAGAGACAGGGTCTGCCTGCCTTCTGCCCCAGCACAGTGGCTGGTTTCCTATGAAACAGTGGCACGGTTCAGTGCCAGAGCTGTGGCTTTATGTTCTTCTGAGTCTCAAGGGTTGGGCGAGAATGTTCTTTTAAAGGGAAAAAAAAAATGAACCTAGATCTGTAGGATCACTTGGAAAGGTTGAAGTGTTTCACTCTGGGTAAAGGATGTGTTCTTAGGTGGTAAGAATGAATTTCAGGCTGCTGCTGTTAGGCTCAGATAGCAAAAGCTTTTGTAGCTTCATAGCTAATTTCAGAGCAAGCCATCATGTCATTTTAGCAGTCAGGGGCCTTATAGTCAGCTTACTGGAAAATGAATATTGTTTCTCTTAAAATCATAAGATAATCAAGAAAAGAATCAGCATGTTGTAATCCAGGAATTCCTGTCTAATTCTATAAGCTGTGATAGCCGCAACACTACGGGCTTACCAGTGTATCCTCTGGACGTGTTTCCACGGAGGCTCTTGATGACTTAAGGTAACGTCATCTTCTGAAATAGTCACAAGTCTGATTTTTCAAATCGCACCTTCACTGAACTTGGGAGACACCTTCTCCGGAGTGGAAAATAAGCATGAGCTATAAAGTAAATAGGTCTACTTTTCCTACTTCCACTGATGTCTTCCTTCTTCAAAGGACTGTTTTCTGTTTTCTACTCAGAAAGTGTTTGTATCCGACATAAGTACTTTTATCTATTCCAAGATTTTCTAACTTAGCAGGTACTAAGAGGGAAGCCAGTGAAAACTTGTCACATCTATGCTGGACAAATAATGGTAGAACTGCACTTCCGGGATGGCATCTGGATGCATATCCAGAGCGCTGGGAAGCCTTTCTGAGTCTTCTTTGTTCTGGACTATTGGGAAGGATGATGATCCATTTAGCCTGTTTTTTTAGGTGAGGTTGATGGCCTCACCTGAGAGCTTTTTCTCTCTTAATAAGCACCTGGGGGCAAAAAAGAGAGAGGAAATAGTACACTAAAGCAAGCACTCTACCCGCCCCATGCTTCTTAATCTCATTCTGTGTCAGAGTCACCTAGAAAACTCTAATGCATTAGGGTTAGCTGATCAGGGGGAGGCTCAGTATTTAATGTTTCTTAGATAATTCTGATGTACAGCCAGGGCTAAGAATAAGGGTTTGAGGTTGCCCTGAGTCCCTCAAAATGCCTTAGGGTACCTTCAGAGGAAGCAGGCAGGTCAGAGACAAACAGAAGGGGCTGTAGGGCCCCACTCCCTTTAGCCATCCCCCCCTTCGCCTGAGGATTTCTGCTTTTGTCTGTTTTATATATTGTTTCTAAAGGAGAAAAGTTTAACCGTGGCGCTAGATGTAAGGCCCTATGTAAGAATGGCAACGGCTTTTAAATACAGTCTTCAAGGATGGTAAGGGCTGAGCTTTGCACAGAAATGTGTTATGTAGCTTCTGTGGAATGTAGGAAAAGAAAAGGAAATCTAATAGTAATGAACAATAGTACCACGTGGCCTAGCATTTATTCCAAATAAGCAAAGCCCTGGTCAAGAAGAAAGTAACTTACCCAAGCAGATGTTTCAAAAAGGGCTGTTCGCTGCCACCCTGCCCTCTGATTGATCACATCGCCTCTTGGCTAGTACAAGATAATGTAACCTTGTCTGCTTCTATAGAAAATGTTTAAGATTTGGGACTTAGCAGCCATTGAAGGAGTTCTTATTGTTTATTTCCCCCTCCTTAGGAAAAAAAAGTACAACTTTTATTGAAAAAATAATTTGTTTGGTATCAGAACTTCATACAAAGTTTATATAAGGTATTATTATAAATACTTGTATTAAATCTATTTCTAGAAAGCCAAGATGGTTTACTTGTCTAGACCTCATTCGTTTTTCACCTAGGTCAGATCAGATCTCATTAAGGTTGCTCTTCTGCTATACCCTTTATTATTTGAACACTCATTGCCCTCTGTGGTCTCACTAATGGACTAATTTCCTGAGATTACAAATTGGCAGGCTTTCATTTCCAGATCGCAGCCTCTCTGTCATCATTTTTCCAGTTTTGTTTTTTTGGTTTTTTTGAAGTTTGTTTTATGCTGTATCACAGAATGGATTTCCTCATTTCACCTTCTCTGAAGTCATTTGTCCCCTTATAATTAACGAATAAGCTGTGCATCCAAGGATGTTTATCCAACAGCACCAGTTGAATTTTACATTTTTAAAATGCAATCATGCCTTTAAAAAAAAGTTGGCAAGTCAATTTTAGTTAAACACAAGAACTATAGCCCATTTCCCAAAGCAAATTAATAGAAGTTAATTTTTTAAAGAATTATCTATAGCAGTTCACACCATAAAATTACTATTGAAATTATTGCCATTTTTTGGCTATTAGACTCTTTCTTATTATAACTTAAACCTTGGACCAGAAAAGTATAGAAAGAGCATTATTTTAAAACATACAGCATAACTTTTTTTTCTTTTTGTAGCATTAATCTTATCACTGGTCATTTAGAGGAACCAATGCCAAACCCCATAGATGAAATGACAGAAGAACAAAAAGAATATGAAGCCATGAAACTTGTCAACATGCTTGATAAACTTTCCAGGTATTGTATTCCCATCCATTTTTTGCTCGGTTTCTTAAAATGTTCTATTTCTTTGTCTCTCTGACTGAGAGTTACCATAGAACAGCAGACTCTGGAATCCATGTGATTGGGACAGGCTGGCCCAGGGAGCAGCAGCTCAGACACCTCTTGGCTACTGTGCTTTTAATACACGTGCCGCTTCTGGATGTGCATTCTTACACATTTGGACCCTAGAGCGAAGACAGGGGCTAGGTCATTGTAATACTTAACCAACTAACCTCCCAGTCTTCAAAAAGATGCTATGAGTTAGGTTCCGTGATTTCGCTGCTTCTTGTATTTTTGTTTTAGTCTGTTTTGGTTATTGTTCCAAATCATGATGCGCTTTTTCTTTTTCTTTTAATTTTTGATGTGCAAGTTTGCAATTCTGCTTTTTTGGGTTGCTGCTGAAACCAAAAATTCTAAAATGCCATGCACCCAACAGGAAAAAGTGAAAAAAAAAATAGCTCAAATGAAGGATTTTCTGAAAGCAGGAACTTGTATTAATTAGGGTTCTAAAAACAGTCTGCCCTTCCCCCCTTGGTTCACACCTCATTCCCCTCCAAAAATAACTAGTTTTGAAAAATAATTAAATAAAATATGTACTAATCATCAACTAGTCATATTGAGGAGTTATTAGAAAATAACTCCTTTCGTGTGTGGCTGACTTGCTGTGTTTTTGAGTCATACATTGAGTCACTGTCTACTTGAAGCCGTCTTGAGTGAGTGGTTGTGCGTTGGGTGGTGGCTGTCACTTAAAGGTGAATTTCCTCTGTCATTCACTTTTCACTGACACTGCGTACAGGCTGGTTGACCCTCTGTTGAGAGAAGAGCAGTAGGAAAGGGAAAGCAAGAAAGACAGCCCTGGAAAGAAAAGATAAGAAGAAGAAGGTGCGGGGAGAAAGCACAGCAGGCAGCTTAGCACAGAAGCAGGCAAGAGCAGGAGTCTGACGGACATTGTGACAGTGGGGGCGTTTTGACACTCTGCGGGCGGAGCTTCTTCATATGAGGTCGGTAACTTGTAGGAGCTGCTTAGAAGTAGCACTTTGTTATCTACAAAGTGTGGCTACCAGCCAGCCCATTTAAGTCTTAATCCTTTCCCAGGGTTAGAATTTATAGCTAACTGTCCTTAAAATCTTCAGAAGACATTTTTGCCTATTTCCATAACTCTGTACAGAATAAATATGTTCTTTCTCTGAAGGAATGAACAAGTCACAAAGATACTGATAAGGCAAACCTATACGAGACAGAATAACAAGTTCAATAAAAATAAGATGTGGTAGCTGGGGATGTAGCTCAGTGGAAGAGCATGTGCGAGGCTCCGAGTTCAGTCCCCTCAAATAAGAAAGAGGATTATGCCGAAGTAAAGATACTTAGGTGTGTGGGTCCTTCCAGGAAGGGTCTGGCATAACTAACACAGCAGCCTGAGGTTAGGATGAGCACCAGCAGAGTCCAGCGGCTGGAAGCTGGATGGACAGTTGTTAGCAGGACCTGAGTGGAGCTTATGAGTGTTTAGGGCAGGAAGACAGTTAAGCTATGTAAGTTTCATGTTCTGACCATCAGTATGAATCTGAAAAGGTTAATGCAGATCCTGTGCAGCTCCCCTATCCCCACTGTAAAGGAATAAACTCCAAGCTAGGATAATGGAAGATGGGGAGAAGAACTGCCTAACATAATGCTGTGTGATTTGGGTAGTTGGCTTCCTGAGAGACACCACCGGTGTCTTAATGCATCCCTATTACAGGCACAGAGGAACAAAGGTGCCAGGTACTTCCCTTTTAATCTTGGGGGACTCCACATACTTTAGACGCTCCAGTAAGTAAATACACAGATGTTGAGTCTGTGGTATGCAGCTGATTTAAAACTATGCCTCAGAGAAGGTACACACTTGCCTGGAGACACCTAGCAGTGCTGAGCCTAGGAGGGAGGTGCTCATTTTTTCGTTAATGAGGCAGAGTATGTCTTGTGTTAGCTTTGATGGTACCACTTCTGTTGTTAAAGTTGAAGCAAAGGCACTCTTGAGAATCCTAAATCACATAGACTTTTTTGCATGATGTATGGTGGGTTTTGACATTGCCTTTGTGTGCTTTCTAACATTTGCTTTCTCTAATAACACTGAGTGACAAAATTGTAAGATCAGCAGTAAGCATTCCAAAGTAGGAATGCAAAGAATGAAGCCATTCTTTATGCGTCTTACTCGTTTATTGTGCTGTATTCCTCATTGGTCTTAAGTTTCTCCTCTCTTTTCACTGTTTTTCTTTCAAGGTTATGGAAAAAAAAGTTGCCATAAAGCCAAAGTAGACCAAATTCAGTACAATGCAGGGGACATTCACTAAGCGCCTCCCCTGCTAAGCACTGGGCTAGGATGTCCAAGCGGGGTTGGAGGTGAATGCGGCTGTCTCTGCCTTTGGAAAACTCACATTGCAGTGGAGGAAATAGCTACAGCCTGAATACATGAGTGAATACTATTCTAGAAAACAGCATAGAAGGAAATCATGACAAAATGATGTGTGCGCTGATCTGTAAGCACCCAGGAAAAGGAGCAGTTCATTCTGTCTGGGTGATTCAGGAAGTGTTTCTTGGGGAAGGTAGTAGCGTGTGTGCTGACCCTTGAGTTCTCAGAGACATTTAAAGGAAGGTGAAGAGTGGCCATTATAGCAGGTGGAGAGAGATTTAACCTTGCTGATAAAATAAGCCTTTGGTATTCACGTACTGCATCTTTGTTCCAAAGAGCTTGGGTTAATTTGTCTTTAAGGGAGGCAAGGACCAAAGAATTGCCCCGAACTTTTCCAAGCTGATGGCTGATGATAATCTGTTCCCTTTTGACAGTTTACAAAACATTTTCACGTACATTCTGTCTCTGGCTTCAAAATGAAGTGAGATTAGGAACTTCATTTTCCAGAACTCAAGCCCTCTGCTCTGTCCACTGTGTCACTGTGTCTGTCTGTTACCTAACAGTGAGTGTCTGCTGGAACACTTCCTAATCATCCCCTCAGCATTGTACAATTGGTTAGTTCCCTCCGCTGTCACTCTGGGAAGTTCTGCATTTAGCCCGTCTTTATTGTGCTAAGTGTACTTAGCTTTGTCTGATTAACTTCCTCTTTCAGAAGTGAAATCATTTTCTTCTGTACCTGAGTTGAGAGGCTTGTGCGTAAAGGACAGGGTTGGAGGTGGCGTGGCCAACGCATGGACACTAGACACTTCCTTTTTTCCATCCATAGGAGAGCAGATGTGAAGGACCCGCACCAGGATGGTGGTTAGCAACAGTGGCCCGTGCCAAAGCACTTACCAAAGTGATGACTAAGGTTGGTCATGCCAAGTACTGTTACTGAGCTTGGTGTAGGGTGTAGGCACTGCACACTACCAAAAACGTAAAGCCCCATTGTACACTGATGATCACTTGCCCACTGCCTCCATGCCACTCCCTGAAGCGGTCACCACTTGTGCATCTCCATCCCCCTAACTGTAAACACAGTGGGGAGTGTGTTGCTCAGATCCTGCCCTCTCCTTGCGCAGTGACTGACCTAGTATCCTAAGGGCTTTTACCCCTTTAGTGTCAGGATTACATTTGTGACAGGTGTTTATATCCCCTACATGGGGATTGACAGGGCACTGCAGATCTCAGAACTGGAGAATGTAACTGACCTGTAACCCCTCTCGTGTACCTGGTACAGGGCCTTGTATCCTGGGGTTGCCCCAATGTGGGATGAGGAAATAATGAAAACAGCTGATTCCCATACTTGAAGGTCAAAAGTTTTGCTCTGTAAAATACCCTACATGATTTAAGATTTTAAAATGTGCTTTAGAATGTGGCCCTTAGGATGCACAAGGCTGTGCTTCAATCCCCAATACTAAGTAAATAGAGCACACTTTGTGAGTTCCATTTCTCAGCCAAACTTCATAAAATCCCAGACTGAAAAGCAATTCTTTAAGATACTTGGGGAAAACTATTTTAAATGTCTGGGTACACAGTTTTCTTACTACAGAGTGATACATACAACATTCATCAGGCATAAGCATTAAGGCTTAAGGTGCAGCTTACAGAAAGCTTCATTTGATGTTTACAGGGGAGAGCACGGGTAGAGAGGACAAAATGTGTCGTCTCGCCACCTCTTTCTCTGACTTGGGGAGAAAATAAGTTCCTGCAACCCAAGCAAGATGAGCATGGGGACTGTGTGTGGCTTGGCGAGTCCCGTGTGCCTGGTACAGTTGCGGTTGCCTCAGCTGCAGCACAGCCTGCGTGGCATAATGTTCCTCCCACAGGGCAGGAGCACACTGACCTCGGCCTGCACTAACCCAGGGGATGTTTCAGGTCACTTTTGTTTTGACCTCTCTAATCCCCGTTAGTTCTTAATCGGACCCAGAATTGATTACTCCATCATCACTCACTCCATCACTGTTTAACAAGGTGCATTGCCTATTTGCTTATATATTTCACCATTTTAAAATGTATGGGCATATGAATAAATAATAATTGTTCTGTCATTTTTTCTTTTTCTCATCCACTCCCTAGCTAATAATTGTGATTTCTTCATTTTTATTTTTTGACAGCCATAAAGGTATTTGGGACATGGCTTCCTTAGTAAATGGAAGTGCCAGATACAAGTATAGCTCCCTTTAGCTCCAAGATTATTTTTAAACTAAGGCTAAGAGTGACTTATGACTGGAAAGTAACATTCTTCTTATAAATAAGTTATTTTACTCTTTGTACAAAAGTATCAGTAACTGTAATTATATATTCTTTTATGATGCGTTAGTCAAGAAAGTGCCTTGCAGGTGCATTTCAGAAACATGTCCCAATGTTTAAAGCATCGTAGGATCTATTGTAGGTATAAAAGTATGAGGTCTTAATTGTATTACCAGAAAACCCTTTAGGTCTGTTGTATCAGAATGATAACCACTAGCCATATTTGACTGTTGAGCACTTAAAAGTATGTTTAGTACAAACTGGAATGCCCTCTAAGTGTAAAGTATCAGGCTTCCAA